CTCTTTTAGGTTTGATGGGGGAGGGGGGAGGGGGAGGCAAGGTCGTTTCGGCCCCACCCCGCTCCACACATTGTTGGCTTTTTTGTTCCCTTTTAGCTCTTTTCCTTCCTTCTCTCTTTTTTTTTAGCGGGAACGGGGGGGGGGGGGGGGGCAAGGGTCTTTTGACGCCCCCCCCCCGATCCACAACTTGTTGGCGGGAAAATTGCAACTGATATCCCCCTTCTGTTCTTGTCTTCTTCCTCTTTTTTCCTTCCCTATATCTCCTCTTTTCTTTTTTCTTTCCCTTTCCTTCCTTCTATTTTATTTTTTGATTGGAGGGGGTACAATATACTGCTCAATTTATTAAGCAACTTACTTTGCAGTTGGGTGTAATGGTCTGAATATTAATTTTCGAGCGAGCGGAGAGAGCAAACAAAAATTTTAAGATTTGTGAATTCCCAGTGCAAAAAATTATATCTTATAAAGAAGACAGAAAAACAAACCCTGATGAGTATTAAGCAAAATCTAATGAAGAAAGACCGAACAGTACTTTTATAAGTTACATAATAATTATAACATCTATAAATGCGAGCTCTACGTAAAATTAAAGAAAAAGGGCCTATAAATCGCCTTGAATTAGGGGTGCATGTTATGGAGAAAGGAAAAGTAGGCACTTATCAAAAGTCAAAAGGGCAGTTATTAGAAAAGAAAAGGTGCTCGTGTCAAAGTAAAAAACGGCAATTAGCAGAGGTGAAAATGGCAATTCTTGCACCTAAAAAGGGACACTCAACAGAGATGAAAAAGGCACTTGTGAGAATGGAAATGGGGAATCTGTTAAAGGAAAAGAGTACCTAATAGATTTTAATATAGGCATTTAACAGATGTTAAAAGGGGCATTTTGAAGGGGGCTCATATCAAAAAAAGGGGGGAAAAGGGGTGCTTATTCAAAAGAAATATGGTGCTTATTAGAAAGGAAAAGGGGCACGAGTCAAAATCAAAGAGGCACATATCATAGGTGAAAAGTGGTATTTAAGAGAAAGTAAAGGGGGTTCTTATTAAGAAGGAAAAAGTACACTAATCAAAAAGGAAAAGGGGCACCGGAGTCAAAGTAAAAAAGGGGCAAAAATATCAGAGACGAAAGGGGGATTTTTCGCACCTGAAAAGACGTACCCACCAGAGATGAAAAGAGAGGAAAAGGACAGTTATTAGAAAAGAAAATGGGCACTTGTCCTATGTACAAAAAAATGGGCTTTTGGGGGTACCTGAAAAGTGGGGACACGGTGCCCCTCCCCCCCCCCCCCCCCCCCCCTGGAAATTGCCGCCTCTGGCATCATGGTGTAAGTGAAAGAAAAAACCCGTAAAAATCAGGCCATTTTAGCAACATTTTGTAAATCACTGGTATCGAATTAGAAATAAACCACGTTTGAATTTTTTGTTGGGAGTCAACTACCCCCCCCCCCAATTATTACACCAGTGCTGAAAGTGTCGGATTCACAGGCCTTCTATCCACTTCTCAGAGGGTTCACTACATCGGAAACACAAGACAGACATTATCCTATCTTCATTTATTTTGTTTCGTCTGTCTCATGTTGGAGTGGGGCGTCAGTCCTGTGGACCTTTTGAAACTGATTCTAGGACAATTACCCCCTGGACAACCATGCCGGCTAAGTACCAACGGGACACTTACCCCTCGAGGACTATTACACCCCCCCCCCCTGAAAATTTACCCTTGGACAAGCACCCCCTCCCCCTGGATAATATTATTAGCCCGAAAACAAAAACTCACTTTCATGCAGGGTGGATTTTCCCTTTAATGAACAGGGAGGGGGGGGGGGGGCAATTGTCCTCATGGTGTAGTTGTCGTGAGGGGTAATTATCCTAGGGGTAATTTTCAGGGGTGGGGGTAATTATCTTCGGGGTGGTGTCCTTATGATATTTTCTCATCTTATTATTTTTTTCTGTTGGTCGCATGTTGTTGGTTTACTTGGATAATTGTTGAATTGAATTGAATTGAAATTGATCTTTCTTTCATACATCATAAAACATCGTAAAAACATGTAACATACAGAACATAAGTTAAAGAAAAACGTTTACAACAGAATACAACAACAACAACAAAAATGCCATATGAATGGTGGAGACAGCTAGGAAAGCCAAAGGCTTTATTGGTGCTGACATCGAAACAAAAATACTGATTTTAAAAAAAAACTAATACCAAAATAGAGGGGGAAATAACAAAAACAAAAACAAAAGAAAAGCCTGACCGTGTACAAAATCAATCTTTATTTATATTGTTGGAGTGATGGACTAGATCCACGATAATACTATTGTGGACCTTTAAAAAAATGTAGATATTTTTAGTTACATTTAGTCTTATTTTAGATGGGTATAAACTTATCAAAAACATACATATTGTAAAACTGATATACAAAGATCTAAGACATTCAAAAGTTTTAATTTCAGAAATAAAGATTTAGTATTAGTAAAATATCGGCATAAAAGACTAATTGAATAGCTCTTTTTGTATTATAAGCATGATCAGTCGAGGATTCCCATTCAGGCATGGTTACAATAATCAAAATAAGGAGATATAATGGCCTTATTTTATTTCATTTTATTTTTCCCTGTCTTTTTATGTGTTTTTTCTGGGAGAGCGATTGTCATCAAAAGCTGTTCGAAATGCATTGTATCGAACATCTTTCATGTTATTTAATGCAATTTACAAGTAATTCATTTTTGCAACTGTATACCGGAAGTGAATATTTATCTTTGAAAATTAAGCATTAATGGCTTTGTCTGAGTGAAATATACACTTCTGGTATCCTATACCAATGTGGTCAATTGTAAAATAGTTTGATTCTTTGCCATTTTCATTCTTATTTCTGACCACTGAAAGTCGGTTTTGTAAGTGTGCGCATTATAAAGGTTAACGACATCCTGAACAGGATCTAGACCTAGATTGCGGTTTTCGTCCAGTACTTTTTTTTCTACCTTGTCTGTTTGTGTGATGGGGAATTTCTTAAAGTGGACCACTTTTCCATAGACTCGACGGGGCACCTTTTCTGTTATGAAGCTGTGTATATTTCTGTTTCAAAATGAGCTAAAATAATGACACGCCCTCTTTTTGTATAGCTCATTTTGTTGTCATAATCCGGTAAGTCAGTGCCGGTGTTATGTTAAAAAGATTTAACAATGTATGACGAAGAACTTATATATTTTATCATTTATAATTGGGCCAGGGAGGTGAGACTTTATGCCCTGATTGGGCTTAGCATTTTTAATGAGAATGCAGATTTTCTCCATGGATCTTTCTGGATTTGACGTTAAAGAGTAAAGCACACAAATGAAACACAGAATAATTATACCGGTAATGACTGAGAGTAAACTATTGTTTATTGAACTCCGGTTTCATGTGGCAACATAGAAAAAGGAAATAGAATGTCGCTCTTATAAGATACAGGATCATATAGCATTTTGCTTTGCAACGAGACGGATACAAGCATTTACAGACACTAATCGTTTATACGTCATGTTTGAAATATCAAAACAGGCAAAATAAAGTAACAATGTTAGTTAAAGAACTCGTTTTTTTTTTTTTTTTTATAAATACACGTTTCAAAATCAGTCCGCGAATCTATTATACAATTGTAGAATTCAAACCTGAAGTTAAAATTTTGTTGATCACTTCGTTCAAATAATCTTTCAGTAATGTTTCCTCTTACACTTAATATATTAATAACCGCATGAGCATATTACTTTAGAGCTTTAAAGTCATGCAATATTAATGAATCGATGTTCATGATTATCATTATCAATTTTTCTTCAATTTTTCCCAATTTTGAAGTTTAAAAATTTGATCTAAAACAAAAAAGTTCTAAACTAGTATTATCTTTCAAATGCAGTTGGAATTTAACTTTTTCATTTTTTTGGCCTGCAAATGGGACATAGTACCTTTAAGGGCGTAGGTCCCCTAGTTGATAAGCATAGTAGCATACACATGCTTTAGCAGTCACGCAAAACACACATTGTTACATTATTATTCAATAAAATCTGAGAATGTATACTATTATCTAGATCTGTTATTTTTAAATTATTTTTAAAATAATTCCATAAATTGGAGTAAAACAAAAATATTCCAACTTTATGAGCGACCGTGTCGAATAGAATTTGTATCATCATAATATATATTTTTCGGGGGGCTTTGGTTGCTGGGAGTTGGGGTACTTGCATTAATTTTGTACATGTGCCTCATTTAAATTCATAATCATTCGTAATCAAGAAACAAATACCCCTCCCCTACCCCCCCCCCCCCCATCCCAACTCCCCCACCATTCATATAGCCGGATGAAAATAGCAATAAGGAGATAAAACGACTCCACATGACTGTATAGGAGCAACACAAGATGGCGCTGTCTATGATATTTTCTGGGTCTTCTTTTCTCCAGAAATGAACAGCAGAAAAACAAAATTGTGATGGGATGTAGATTTTCAATTGAATGTTAAACTAGTTTGTTATACATGTTTTTACTTTGGTCAGGGTTTTTTAAGATGACAAGATGCAGATATATAGCCATGCTATATACATTGGGGATTATCCTAGTCCCCATTGTATATTGTGGCAACTATTATCTGTCACATATTGAACATTAATTTTGACCCCCCCCCCCCTCAAGGCGAGTCGATATTTCTCAGTTCTCGGCATTGACAAAACACACCATCGTACTTGATTATTGTGAGAAAAACTTGAATCAGTCATCAGCTATAAAGCGTTTAAATGAAATCGGCACTGCCTATAACCTGCAAATTTAAACCAGACCGTACGTCGGAGGAATGCTCCCCTGACCCCCATCGCCCTCTGTTTAATTTAAATGAAAAACAATTGTCGTTAGAAAGGCCCTAAACAGTTTCTTGCACCAGTAGAGGCAAGACATCCTTCACAGCTAAATCATCTTTAATCTTTATAGCGAATTTAATAGAATTAAACCAACAACAAAAAGAGACAGTATGCCTCCCTCAGTCCATTACACCTCAAGTTTTATTTTGCTTAGTCGTGCGCTTCTCCTCTGAGGAGTCTTTGCCCTTGCCGACTTATCACTTTCAATTCCCTGATTTTCAACTTTGACTCGGGCTTTCAAGCTTATCCCCTTGCATCTTTTGTTCTTAACGTCGACGTCATCAGCATCATCTGGACGGCATTCCTGTTTGACTTTCGTACATAATACTTTGTCCTTCTTATTTTGTTCCGTTCTGGTCATCTCTGAATGAGTCCGTTTTCTTGATTGCTTCTTTGAGGCACCTTCGGATACCTTGCATTCACTCAACGGTTCTACAAATTCCCTTTCCCTTGGTTTTGTTCTGGTTGGAGGAGATCTCTTCTTCTTCTGTCCTTTGGAAACGCTCACTTTCCTAGACTTTGATGTACATGACGTAAGAGGCACTTGATCAAAATCCTCATCGTCTTCGTAGTTCAATCTCAGATTCTTCTTCCCCGACATCTTCACAACCGCTTTTCTTTTACCAGGTGCCTTTACCGATTTCATTTTCTTTGGGCGTTTCACATCACCGTCATCATCAGATTCATCTTTATTCTCACGTTTCACATTTGTAGTTTTCTTAATTTTCCCAATGTTTGCTAGCTCTGCCTTTGATATATCACTCTCAACTCTCAGTCCTTGGCATTCAGGACACCACATCGTCATTCTCTTCAGTTCATCTCCAAAGAATCCTCTTATAGTCTTATGACCGTCGGGACATTTGAACTTCCAGTACATCTTCAGCCAGGAGCCAAATTTCTGATACTCCGGCAGCTCTTCCTCCCACTTCAGCCAGTCCTTTGTAAATCGCACGACTTCCTCGGCGAGTCGCACGACTTCAGATCGGGTCAAATTGCTTCCTAGTTCCAGAGGATGCATTCGACACGCATAGAGCACTTCATTCTTGACGATGTTACCGGCTCCTGCGAAGTGCGTCTGGTCCATGATGGTGTAGCAGATTGGTATTGGTTTCAGTAACGCCGTCGCCGCCTTTTCGAAATCAAATGTCTCGGATAGAACGTCCGTCCCTTCATCTTCACATGGCCCGTCAACGATACGGATGCTGCCACCGTAGAAGACAAGAAATGTCTTATCCTCGAAGTGAAACTCCACCATAGGATTTGGAGCTTTTGGTGCTTCTGATTTCTTTGCTCGCTTCGAGCGTTTTGATGGCTCTTTGTATTCATTCGCTCGTAGGCTACCCCACATCAAGAAGTGATACCGGTACCAGATGGAGTCTTCTCCATCGTCAATATTCTCTTCTTTGTGATCACATGCCTTTATAGTTTTCTTTTTTGCAGATGTGTCCGATTCACCATCGCTCCTTGTGTCGTTTCCTGAAGGACTATTGTGAAGGAGTTGGAGAAACAACTGCTTGCCATAGACGACGACGGCATTGATACAGGCACCTCTCCATCTTTCGCGCTCCATAACCTTGCTAACTCCTTTGACCTCCTCGATGCGTTTATGGATGAATTGACGAGCGGTGTCACCCCACCGTCTTACGCTCGGACCCTCTGGCATGACGCTGCCGTGGTGGAAACCTATAATATGAATGACGTAACAAATATAATGAAATCATAATCATAGGCGTTCTTGTCGTATATATTCATTCATGCATTCAGTCATTTCATCAGGCACTGTAAACTTCACAGCAAATCACAAAAAGAAAATGAGGCATTCCTTGCACCTGAAAAGAGGCACTCACCTGAGATGAAAAAAGGGCACTTATGAGAATTTGAAATCAGTATTTGTCGACGGAAAAGGGGCACCCATCGGATTTTGATAGGGGCATTAATTAGAGGTGAAAAGGGGCATTAATGAGAAGGGGACAGGCTCCTAAAAGATAGGAAAAGGGGCACTTATCGCACCTGAAAAGGGGCACTGACCTGATATTTGTTGAAAAAAGGGGCACCAATCAGATTTTGATAAGGGCGTTTATCGGAGGTGAAAGGGGGCACTTATCAAATGTGAAAAGGGGCACTGACCTGATATTTGTTGAAAAAAGGGGCACCAATCAGATTTTGATAGGGGCATTTATCGGAGGTGAAAGGGGGCACTTATCAAATGTGCAAAAAGGGCACTTCTCATAGGCTGGAAAGGGGCACTTACTAGTGACTAAAAAGTAACTTATGAGAATCGATAATGGATACTTATTGCATAGGAAAGTGGGAAGTTGTCGAACGAAAAGGGGCACGTTTCAAAATAAAAAGGGCACTTATCACAGGTGAAAAGGGGAAGGGGCATTTTTACAAAGTTAAAGGGGCACTTTTCCTGTGTAAAAGGGGGCACTTTTAGGGTACTTGAAAAAGTGGGGGCACTGTGCCCCCCCCCCCCCTGCCCCCGGGAGCGCCGCCTCTCCATGTGCCCTCTACACCCATTGGAAAATGGGGGGTTATAAAGGAAAAGTGAGGATTAATATATAGGGGAAATTGCGATTTCAAAAAAAGATAATATTATGCGCGAACCCCTCCTATATTCCCCTCATAGACATTGTTCTATCAATATGGTCCTAGCTTGCATGCAAGACATTGCTGATAAATGCATAACATCAAACTCACATCAAATTGTAACTTACGAATACAATATGACTAGCATGAAATAAACAAGTGGCATGGAATATCGGATACAAATTATTTTTTATATCATGCTGTTTGAAGGAGTATAACATTGTGCCATGTGGTTTGAGATAACCCGTTACGGTCATCAGCCCGTCTCCCATGCATTCTGAACTCAGTGCACATTATATGTCATGCTGATGGTCAATTATTTGGCTTACAATGTGTTGACCACTAGCTGTATCACATGCCTTGCATACATGAAGATCATGGAATGTTATTGGTTTATAACTCACCTATACGGCAGAATGCTGGTGAGTGGTGACAATAATTAATGACCCTCAGCCTCTTTCAAAGAATTCACAACCAATGATGTATCTGTCATTCATCGTATGTTGGCGAAGTGTGGCAGCATAACTCATTGCACATAGCTATTTCTTAGTCCTTGGTCCATGAATTTCAAGTGGAATGACAGACTATAAGAATATACCAGGCGCAATCCTTGAATATACCGCGCTATTCGCTCCGACGAATACAAGGTATTGTTTTGTGCGGACCAGCGATGCAGACAAATCGAAACACACAGTGGCCTGGTATTCGTATTGGTATTTTTTGTTACACAACTTATCTAGTAGGCTCTTTAGTTTTGCTATCAAACAATACACGTATGTTACGTTCTGAATTAACAATGTAAAGGGTTTCGTCATTGAAGTTGTTAACCAAAAGAATAGAATAGAACCAAAAAAAAAAAATGAAACACGGCCGGGGAGGGGGGGGGGGGGGGGGGGGGACATGAACCTGCATTATCTGTAAAGTCTATATATATATAATTCAATTCAATCCAAATTTTATTGATTAAAATCCAAAAAAATCGGATCATTCTCAATCAGTTTTTGTTTTCTAACATTGGATAACAAATTTCAAAATTATAGTGTAACATGGTAAAAGTAAAGATGACAATAACTCGAAATGACAAAAATGAACATACTCCTGCAGTCTCTTTTGGAATATGATACAGGGATGAAAATAAATTGAATTAGGCCTACTAGTAATACTTTTTACACATTTGTTTTTCTTTTCTTTTCAAATAAAACGGAAAAAGAAAAGTGAAATAACAAAAATACAACATGATAGTAAAACAATATAGGTTTATATAGATATGTTTTATGTTTACCAACCCATCCACGCGAGATGACACCGACAATACAGAATTATTTCTGTGGGTTTTGTAATACAAGTAAAGATCTACCATCACCCCCATAAGAAGCACTTTGGTCTGCCCCTTTTTACCGAATGAGCAAAACATTTGAGGGAATACGTTAACAAATTAAAATAGATAAATAAATATGACTGTCAAGTGAAAATCACATTATAGCTGAACATGGGGAATCGGAAAGGGGAAATGTTTATTTATTTATGGCTCCCTCTGTGTCCAATGTTGGACAGGCATTTCGTGCTTGATGACCGGGCGTTTCCGATCCTGGCAGTGTAGGAAGTGCGATAAAAGATGGTATGTTTCACTTATTTTACAAAAAATTAGCATTAATCATGTAACTTAATTGCATTTTCATTGTATATTTAAACAATTAGAGGTATAGGATTATTTATGAATTATGTCATAATGCCATTTTAACTCTTCGAAACTGAACGCGGAAAAGGATGTCGAAAAGCATGTACGGTGGAGACACTGCTAACCTACGGGAGCGTAGTGGCCTAGCTGGTGACTCTCGACCCCATCCGAACTGTTTGCCGCACTGTGCACAGATATTCCATGCAAATGACTTCCGGTTATCTAATTCACTTTGCATTGTAACATGTCACAGTATGGGTGCTTGAATTGTATGATTTTTACTCATATTATACATTAAGAACGTGGAGGTAAATACTGTGAATTTAGAATAGATGGAGATTTGTATACATTTTACCTTACAAGTGGAAACAAAAATGGTTGAAATTTTTCTTGCATTTCTTACCTGCTTAATCATGGATGATAAAGTCTCGGAAATGAATTTAAAAAAAGAAGTAGAAAGAAACATCAACAACACTATCCACCTTCATTCCAAGTAAATGTGTATCTCATGACCTAGTAGAACATGAACCTAGTCATAGAACTTGGTATAATGAGGGAACTACAAGTCTGAGGAGATCCTTTTCATGTAAAAGTAAAACAGACTTGTGACAAACAACCAGAATACAGAAAGGAAATGCATTTTTATCCCATTTACTCTCGATCTTTTCACCAGGTTTAGGAAGCTTTCATTCATCCTTGGTATAATCTAATATCAAAACTATTTAATTTGTTTGCAAAATTAATATTATTAGATCTAGACTAGTGCACCTCTTCTGTTATTTAGCTGAAATCTGAATCAAATCCCTTTTAAAATGGTCTACAGTACAAAGGCTCTAATTTGGTCATTATTGATCGACTAGATGACTACATTTGTAGATCTATCTTAATCTGTCCAGTATTCGTTTCCTTTTTGTAATGGAACTGTTGATAATATATCTTTTGTGTGTGTATAATGGTTATGAACTTATGGTCTACATAGACCCTAAGCCATCAATTGGTAAAGCCCTAATATCTTGGTCTAAACACTTTTTTGTTTAAAGTCCGCCTGCACTAGTTTAGCCAGGAGGCGACTTTGCGTTTTACACCCTGGCCTGGACCTTTTCCCAATAAATTTCAAGGAACCGACTGGGAAAAGTCTATCCATGACAAGATATTGCGCGCGCACGTAGCTCTTCTGCAATGCTCAACGTACGTCCTATATGTCCAGTGTCGCGGTACGCGGTACATGTACTTTTGTATCGAGACGTACGAGTGAGAGAAAAACAACGAGTGAGAGAAAAACAACAGAAGGAAATAGAGAAAAACAATAAATAATTAAAGAACAGAGAGGAAACAAAGAATGTCATAAGCAGAGAGAGAAAACAAAACTAACTTGAAAGAAAGAGAGAAATTAGAGAAGGAATTAATCAAAGTAAGGAAAGAGAGAAACCAAATAATATTATGGTTTTTGTGGTTTAATTCCGCCTTCTTCAGGGTTTCAATTTTTGACGTGTAGCCTACTTTCAAACCATTTGCTGATTCGGACCCCCCCCCCCCTAACACACGTGTACACATATCGACACATACACAGACTACACTCGACATAATATGTGTAATGGTAATGTAATACATAAACTGTGATTTAAATATTGCACTCGTACCATTTTCTATTATTGTGGGATCACGTCTTTCATTTTTTATGCCTCCGCCACCGAAGGTGGTGCCGGAGGCATCATGTTTTCGGGTTGTCCGTCCGTACGTCCGTCCGTACGTCCGTCCGTCCGTCCCGTTTGACCGTTATCACAATATCTCAAGAACCATTTAAGATTTAAACTTAAGACTCGGGAATAGTATTTATCACCATAGGAAGACGATCTGATTAGATTTTGGAGTACGTAGGTCAAAGGTCACAGGTCACAGAGGTCAACTTATGAAATTCCTTGTATTGAGTTTGTTAGCGCGATATCTCAAGAACCATTTGAGATTTAAACTTCAAACTTAAGGATAGTATGTATCACCATAGGAAGACGATCTGATTAGATTTTGGAGCACGTATGTCAAAGGTCAAGGGTCACAGAGGTCAACTTATGAAATTCCATACATTGAGATTGTTATCATGATATCTCAAGAACCACTGGAGATTTAAACTTCAAACTTAGTGATAGTGTGTATCACTATAGGAAAACAATCTGATTAGATTTTGGAGCACGTATGTCAAAGGTCAAGGGTCACAGAGGTCAACTTATGAAATTCCATACATTGAGATTGTTATCATGATATCTCAAGAACCACTGGAGATTTAAACTTCAAACTTAGTGATAGTGTGTATCACTATAGGAATACAATCTGATTAGATTTTGGAGCACGTAGGTCAAAGGTCAAGGGTCACAGAGGTCAACTTATGAAATTCCATACATTGAGATTGTTATCATGATATCTCAAGAACCACTGGAGATTTAAACTCCAAACTTGTTTAAATTGCTCTATGGCGGAGGCATCATTTTCGACTGCGCGCAGTCAAAATTCCATCTAGTTTAATTCATGTCATTTGTTTCTAAGACCTAATTTCTCTAATTCTCTTGACCCCTCTCCCTTCATATTTGTTTTCTAAGACCTCCCCCCCCCCCTCATCTCTCTTCATATTTGTTTTCTAAGACCCATTTCTCCCCCCCCCCCCCCCCCCCCCCCCATCTCTATTCATATTTGTTTTCTAAGACCTCTCTCTCTCGACCCACTCTCTCTCTCGTATGTATTTCTCAGACCCCTCTTTCTTTCTCTCTCATTAACCCCCTCTTCATATTTGTTTCTAAGGCCTCTCTCTCTCTCTTCATATTTGTTTCTAAGACCCCCCCCCCTCTCTTTCTCATTTCTTGATATTTGTTTCTAAGACCTCTCTCTCTCTAGCTCTCAATTCATGATATTTGTTTCTAAGACCCCCTCTCTTTCTCACTTCTTGAATTCATATTTGTTTCTAAGACCTCTGTCTCTCTCTCCCTTTCTCTCTTTCTCATTTTAAATTCATGATATTTGTTTATAAGACCTCTCTTTCTCTCTTTTTCCATTCATCACTTTGTCTAGTGTAATGTACAGACACATAACATATAAAGGAAATTATACACCAGTTTTACATGAATTCATTTGCACTTTATTTACTGCTTTACATTCATATACTTTTTTTTTTCGTGAAGGTAATCTAATCCTTCAATGTCAGAGAAGTACTGGCGCGCCCGATCGAGGAGCGTAGACTAGACTCATTCAAGCAGTTTCATTGCTATTTACCGGGAAAATGTCCAGGCCAGGGTGTAAAACGCAAAGTCGCAGCCAGGAGGAATTAGACCACCCAGCATGGTCACTGACAGTGGGTTATCTCAGTTCTCAATTAACATAAGAAAAAGGGGATCATGGGGGACCAGCGGTCACCGATTAGGCATTGTTTGCTGAATAGAGGGTGCAAGTAGCTATAAGTAGTGCAGTTGGGCTTTAAAGAAATGTTTCTTTCAATTACAACTTTCATACATGGAGTACATACATGAATATTATCTAAATCTACATGTACATACACCGTGATTCTCTGTATTACTTTTTGAAAGTATTTTTTAAGTACACCAGTCTGTAGTTTACATTTCCCATCATGATGTAAAACACTTAAGAGAACACTTAAAGTCACTTTGTGCAGACTGTTCATCCTTCCTTTGTGCTTTGTTAATATTAATCCCCTGAATATGAGCTAGTTTTGAGATGATTTGTATCTGATGACAACTTTATGTGACAATTTGAATTTTATTAAAGGTATGAGGATATAATTTTCTTGAATTTAAAAATAAAAATTCGAAATTTTCGGTTTTTAAGATGGACATTCTGTTCATGTACATGTAGGGGATAACATCTCAGCCTTTAGTAGTATTATACCCCATTCACAGTGGCCTCAAACACCGCGACAGCAGCGGGACTGTCCCGCTGCTGTCGCGGTGTTGTCTTCAGTGTGAAGGCTCGGACCCGTTATAAACTATCGCGGGATAACACCGCCTCGCGTAACGCCGCGACAAACTATCGCTAGGTTCGCCTAGCTACAGCAGCGGGACAGTCCCGCTGCTGTCGCGGTGTTTACTCAGTGTGAAGGCTCTCCGCTATTACACCGCGACAAACACGTGTGATTTGTTTACTTACCTATCACTGACCTCTTTTCTCCAGCAATGGGGAACATAAAGTGAAATAGAAATAAAGTAACCAGTGGATTCAAATTGATTTTATTATTATGCAGATATTATAATTATCCAAATAAAAATATTTCACACTTCAAAAAATTAAAATATTCTGACTGGAAGCAATAAAAATGCTAGTTTTTTAAAAAGTAATATGATCGAGGATACAAAAAGTACAGCTAGCGCGCGCAATTTCAAGCAATCGAAAACCCCGCGCTGAAGTATTTCCGGTCATATCGGGGTCACTCGCGGGTCATGAGCCATGCATACACGTGTTTGTTACGGAGGTAATAAAAATCACCCGCTGCAGCGTGAATGGGTACATGATATTTATCCCGCTGCTGCAGCGGGATAACTTTTCTACTGTGAATGCATTTGTAGCGGTGTTATGGCGGTGTCGCCGCTCCGCTACAACGCCGCTACAAATTTCAAAACCACTGTGAATGGGGTATTAGAGTTATTTAACACCATTTATGAGGAAAGATTATAGGCCCTCAAATAATTCTGAAATGTCTGTATTGGTGGTATATACGGTAGGTCTATGTTGCCTTTTCTAATCTTGTAGGAGTGTTGCTGTTTTTAACTTATCTTATTCATGAATTTCAAAACAAATTATAAATTTCAAGACAACATATGAAAAATATTGTGACCTTTTGACCCAAGGAGCCATCAGGGGGGCGTTTCACAAAACTTGTTGTCATCAGTGATAAATGACAGTTTTTGTTATAAGCAACTGAAATCCTTGCTTCTGATTTGTTATCAACAGATTTGTCACTGATTTTTGTCATTGAAAAAAGGCTTTGTGAAACTGGTCCCTGATCGTTTATTTTCAAAGCCCCCAAAACACACACAAAACCAAAAACATAGAGAAAAATTATGACAAAAACATTAAGTTTTATTCTTGTTTTTTCTCATCGATTATAAATCAGAGGTTTAGACCATGGTGTAGGTTCCAATCTTTTTTATGAAATCAAGCAGAAGGGTTTAAAATTCACTAGATATTGCAATGAAATAGTAATTAAATAAATTTATAGAAGTTAATCAAGAAATCATCTTTTATTGGCAACAGAAACAGGTCCTGTTTATTTTCTATCATTCAGAGACTTTAAAAATTGATTTTCAGTTTAGGAGTAATAAAAAAAAAATGTAATTACATATTTATTTTGGACATAAAGTGATGGAGATAAAGTATTTCAAGCATGCCCCAATTGGCAAGTCCTTACTGTACAAAGATAATGTATAATTAATCTGTTTTTGCCCAGATGTATTGTATAATTGCACTTACATGTAAATACATGAATATAGCAGTGGTTATACTATACATTGCCCTTTTGAAATGTTTGGGTTTCCTGGGTTATAAGGGACAATTCTTTTGAATACCTAGCAATTTGATACACCTGTGAGCTTCACTTTCTGTAAAATGTCAAATGAAGCTTGATGATCTGCCAAAGTATCAATAGAATGCCTTCTGTGTGAAAAGATTTGTTAGGAGAGATACTACAGTATATACCGGTAAAAGATACAGGTACATACATGTATGAGGAAGTAGTCTATACATTGCATTCATGCACTCTGACAATAGAAAGTCCTACTTCGTTTCCTACTTGAGAGTTGAGATCTGCATACTGTACAGTGTAATAGGGGAAAAGGAAATACATGCACTGGCTCTAAGCCTCTTGTCAAAATACAACCATATCCTCGGTTTATATTCAGAATTTCTCAAATATATTTATAGTATACATGTAAAATCAGGAAGCTGAAGTGGGTTCCTGGATATGATAAGATAACATTGTTTAGCTTTGTTTTATGCACAGCTGTAATATGTTTTATTACATGTACAGACTCAAAGGTTGGTGATTTTTTTATGTTTTTATGATTCAATGACCAATTTTTGTTTTACTATTCAGAATTCAATACATGCACTGTATTTATGCATTTTCTTGTTGATAGGCATCTTAAGCAGATTTTTAACAATAAAGGGGGGAAAACATGTATAATGAGGAGAAAATATAATACCATGCAAGGATTGTATCATTTCTCATCTGATTAACAATATTAACTGAGAAAGTGTCCAATTAAACAACATATTTTAAAAATTAGATTTTATTATCATTTTTCTTCATGCTGTTGTAATGCTTATAATATATATTATGAATTATGAAAAGTAGTGATTATTATTAAGGATTACCATCGGCTAGAACTGAAAAAATATTTTATCATTTTCTACATTGACAGGCTGCAACACTGAGACCATACCTTAATGCTGTGAGGTCAACATTGACCGCTGCTATGTGCCTAGAAAACTTCTCTTCACAAGTTGTAGAAAGACACAACAAACCAGAAGTAGAAGTCAGGTGAGTCAAACAAAACAAAATCAATTCACAGTCCAGGATCTTATTTAGCAAGTGTATAATATTCAGATTAGAGGCTTATTCTCATTTTATATGCATTTTCAGGTTGGGTTGACAAGTTGACATTTTGGAATTTGGACCACGAAACTGGAAGAAAAATAAATAAATCAGGCATGATTGAATGTAGAATTTTTGTGAATATGTTTTAAGACTCAAGATTTAGTGATAAATTTACTGATAATATCTTTACTGGACTGCTATGAAAGCAAGTAAATGCTCATACATGTAGGAATATGTGGACATTTGAGTCCTATCTGAGGGACATGATATTGAGGATTAATGCCTTAACAAAGGACACTAGTGCATCAACTTAGTTTAGAATCCAGAACTTCCCAGTTGTGATCCCACTGCTCTAGGCCTCCATCACTGATCCATCACTCCGCAATTAGCAAATATTTTAATAGCACACATGGAAACAAAGCGTTTGTGATTTACTGCTTGTTGTTTGATAAGAAGATATTGATTAGAACTTTAGATGTACTGTACATTATAATTATGCATATCAACCATGTATATGTAGTGAGGGTTTGTGTTCTAAAATAAGGAAAACTACTGAAAAAGCCACTTTGAGATATACAACGTCTAGTATGCAATGCACGTAATCTACTTTCAATCTGTAATGACAATCCAGTTTAACTTATCAATTTGATCTACATTTCGAGGGGTCAGTGACACAAAGACGTAACTCCATTTTGGCCATTTTGAGTAAAAGTGGTTTATGTGTTTATGCAGCACTATGTTTTACTAGCCATTGACTTCAATGGGGTGTTGGGGGGAGTTAAGTCTTTGTGTTTCCTGGAAAGCCCACATTTTTCTGAACATTTTGATATCAAATACTTATTTTGACAAAATAGTTACGTCTTTGTGTCACTGAACCCTCAATATTTATTTCATTTATTTTGTGACAGGATGATGAGGTGAATGGTTTGCTAACATGTTGTTAATGTTTGTTTGATTATACAGGAGTAGTAAAGAATTATTGTTGACACCAGTATCAGTGAGCAGAAATGAAAGAGAGAAGGTTCTAATAGAAGGTTCAATCAACTCGCTCAGAATAAGCATCGCCATCAAGCAGGTGAGAATCAAATCATCACTCTTTATCCAATACATAGGGTTTATAGACAAGATAGGGAGCATGTAATATGTGGTAAGGATTAATATTCAATGACATACAAAGTGGACTTTTCTGCTCCTTGTTTTCAATTGGCATGTTTCTACGAGATTTCAAATAGCCTCAAGTTTCAAAGGTCATTTGCTGTTGGGTAAGAAATACTAAATATCCATTATTGTTTTTTTCCTCCTGAAGAAAGGAATGAAGTGTATTTTAAGTGAATATTCTGAAAACAAAAGTGTGTAACTTATAGTCTACTCCTCCATCATATATATAAGTGTATGTATCTTTCCCGATGGCTCATCATGTTCATGGTGTGAATATTGTTTTCTTTGTCAGGCTGATGAAATCGAGAAGATCCTTTGTCACAAATTTACCCGCTTTATGATGCTCAGAGCAGATAACTTCTTCATTCTTCGAAGAAAACCTGTAGAGGTAAGTAAACATATTCATTCATTCCTCATTTACTCTCAAGATGATGAGCTCATATCCTTTGTCTATGTTAATAGTACATTGAAACTGAAAGGAATACCAATGATAGAAGCACTGCTTGTTTAGATACAGTGAATTATATGAAGAAAAACAAAATTCAAGGCTTATCATTTCCCAAATCCATATCTGCAATTTTGAAGTGACTGAGAGTGAGAGAGGATATATTGCAAATACCGGTAATGAAATGCCTGGGCCCTGTCTTACAAAGAGTTGATATTAATCGCAACTATGTACATACATGTAAGAGATAGGAGATTGCAAACTTGCGATTGATTTGGATCAATCGCAACTATTTGAAAGACAGGACCCTGGTCTCTTGCAGTTGTAAGTCACTGATCGCAGACCTCACTTTTATGATGGACTGCTCTCTTATACAAAGTGCATACCTTTTAGCAACTTTAGAAGCACCGTCCTTGCAACTGAAATTCATTCTCATAAACTCTTAACCTAAAACCTAACCAAGGGATCTCTGATCTTATGCATGCGATGCTCCAAGTAATTCTAATGGGATGATGTTTCAGGGGGTTGCTGCATGTGATATTTGCACATGTATTAATTGGGAATTCCATTAAGCCGGTTGTGAACAAACAATGAGGCGTTGCACGTAAAACTCCCAAAAGTCTCCCTGTACATTTTACGTTTATACAATTTTTTTGAGACATCAAACTTTCTTGATCTGGCATTTGTTTTGGCCACGGATCATGCTTCAGGATTGATTTCGTCAGCAGTGTAGGGTAAGGGTTAGGGTTGCAGTTCAATTTTGGGTTAGGTAAAGTGTTGGGTCCAAGCCAAGGTTGAAGTAAGAAATTCTGGGGGTGTTTCATAAAGCTGTGCGTAAAGTTACGCATGACATTACGATGACTTGAATATGAAAAGCTATGGGATTCTCAAATCCTTTTAATTGCATGTAAGCTAAAGTTGAAATTTGCAGATGTAGATTAACCTTATCATTATTAACAAAACATTTTAATGCTAAGTGTATTTTTGGCTACAATTTAATTGAGATTATGGGAAAATAATGATAATTACAGTCACACTTTGTTAAAATGTCAGGAAAAACTTTAGGCATCCCATATGGCTCTTCATATTCAAATAATTTGTAAAGTCATTTGAAACTTTACGCCGAGCTTTATGAAACGCCCCCCAGGTAGTGTAGGAAAATAACCATGGAGCAAGTGTTAAAGGATCTTGTATCAGAGAACATCAAATTTGTATAATTTATTTGTTTGTTTGTTTGTTGTTTTGCAATTAAAACCTTTAAAACATTTTAACTTCTATTTCTGTGCAGGGGTATGACATCAGCTTCCTCATCACAAACTTCCACACAGAGCAGATGTTGAAACACAAGCTGGTGGACTTCATCATCCAGTTCATGGAGGAGATCGACAAGGAGATCAGTGAGATGAAGCTCAGTGTGAACGCTCGTGCTAGGATTGTCGCAGAGGAATTCCTTAAAAGGGTAGGAGGCACTTTTTCATTCTACTCACACTTTCAATGTGTTATGTACCTGGGTACGAGGTTTCGTGTCTTCAGTAAAGTCTGGTTCAGAGCATTGATCCTGTGCATAGTCATAGCGGATATGGATGTTATATCATAATGTGTTATGCGCTATACAAGAACAGATTATTATTAATATGTGCTAAGCAGTGCACATGGCACTGAGCACAATAAATCCACCATGTAAATGCGTTGTAATGTCTGCCCTGTCAAGTCTGAAAAAAAAAATTGTAAGCTTTTTATTTATAAAGATTCAAACTTATAAGTCTTTTGATGCTGCTATTTAACACCGGTATTAACTTCCTCACAAGTATGATATTTGAAAATGACATTCAAATCAGCAACAAATTGAAAATGGATAAAACTGTCATGTAACAGTTTTTTTATTTATTTTTTTTATTTAGGTTTTATTTCCACATTAACTGCATATGAAAAGAATTTACAAAGTAAGGCATATACAAGGTAACAAAACATGTACATAATATTTGATTGATACAACAGTAATAAAAACGATGTAATGGCAAGTCATTAAATACATATGATGCTAACAATTATCTGCAGTAATGAGGAGGAAACCTCATTACACTCAGTAGTAAGTGTAATAATTAATAGTTGATATTTACATGTAGTGGATTTACCTTTTATTGGTTGTGTATATAATATCTTGTATTGTTAATGCAATGACCTTTCTCTCTCTTTCTTTTCTGTTTCAGTTTTGAGGAATGCCACACCTTAGCTCTTCTTCATGTCTTTTATACACCAAACCATTCAGAGTCTGGCTCCCAGGACCCCCGATGTACAATACATTCCTTGGACAAGGGCAACTTTTTTTACACCTTGTACTCTGACTTTAAATACTCTACCAAAAAAAAAAGAAGCACCAAAAGTTAGATGAAACTTCATTTCAGTTTAGTCTTTTGTTTAAATGAGGTTCAGCATTGCCATTTTAGGTTCTCTGTCTTCTTTATTCGCTTCCACTCAATTGTCTGTTCTCTCTTTCTCATTGAATGATCACTTATCTCTTGTGGTCTCTATCTTATGTTCACTCATTCATTCATTCATTAAGTTTGTCTTACATTCTCTGTCTCTTTCTATTTGAGTTATAAAGGGATGGATGCCATTAAATAAGAAGCCCTAGGAATGCTCATCAACCTGTGTCTTATATTGAGCCACAGTAGTGTAGTGGTACGATACTTAGCCATTCAAGTTACAAGATAAAGGGGCCAGTATCATATTTAGGTGATATAATCATAATAGAATTTTCTTTATTAGCATAGAAAATGTACATTTTTGTCATCTTAAACATAGCATAATGAATTCTAGGAAAATGTGGTGAAAGAATTAATGATTTAATGAATGAAAGATTTATTTATAGACTATGTATGAATCTGAATGCCCATACTTATGTTTTTGTTTGTTAATGTGTTACTGTATTGTTTCCTTTTTTATTGTGGTGCTTTGGAAAAGCTTCCTTTAAACCATGCCGTGAAAGTTTCTTCTCCGTATGCATTATGGAAGAAAGTTATAAAGAACAAATACAGCAACCATTTCGGTAAATCTATACTTAGACATGAAGAAAATAATCTGCTATTAAATTTTCATCTTCTATAAATAATGGTTGAGATCATTCAACCCTTGCAATACGCACCAGGAATATATTTGAAGCCCAGTCTTTTAATTCCATTTGTAATTGATAAGTAAAACAAAATATTTAAAAAGTATGATTTTGCCAGTTTCACTCATGTACAAAGATTTTTTTCTTTTCTTTTTTCATTTTTCCTATAAACTCAGATAAGAATGTAAAGAATCAAAGCATGCAAGTTTCTCATTATAGCCAGTATATCTAAAAAAAAATGAATGAAAGACTTTGAAATGACTTTGAATAAATGTGATATTCTAGGTGATATACAAAGGAAGCATATTTCCTTTTCTCGTAATAAGTTGCACTAAATAAAAGCTTGTAGACATGAAGATTGTTTAAGAGGAATATGTTAACTGATTTCCTATGATGGGATGATATGTTAATGTATTACGTCTATGGAAATGGGAAAATTAAGTAGTCTAAGGGTTAAGAAATATCTTTATTGCAAAATCTATTTGATCTTGTATTGAAAAAATGTATGGCAAAATAATTGTTCAAATATGCTTTTTAACATTTGCAGACTACAGGAATTTGCAAACCTTAGATGTTAAAGCCCCACTGCACTACTTATAGCTACTTGCGCCCTCTATATAGCAAACAATGCCTAATCGGTGACCATTGGTCCCCATGGTTCCCTTTTTCTTATGTTAATTGAGAGCCGATTTTATGAGATAACCACCTACCAGTGACCGTGCAGGGGGTTCTAATCCCTCGGGCCAAACTAGTGCAGAGGGGCTTTAAGGGGAAGAATACATTTCCTTTTCAGTGTTCTGGGTAGGGAATGAAAATGTAAATGTAGAAAGAAAAGACAGTTTTTTCTTATCCCTTCTTGTCAATATGCAATTATAATCATGATTGCCATGATGTAAATCTTACTTCAATGAGTTTTATTGTACATAGATAGTGTAGTATGGATTATTTTGTACTTAAAATCTAAAGTCATCTGTTATTAGCTCCAGGATGCAATGGTACAGGGAGTGGGATTGGAAATGGGAGATTTGGGATAAAAACGTCTGTGTCATGTACTCTTGTTTATTTGGAATCTACTCTCACAGTTCTATCATTTGAGCAAATGAGGTGAATCAGTTTCTATTTGGTTTACGTACAAACAGCAAGACTGGAGATTGTGATGTAGAGATCAAGTCACTGGGCAAGTCCATAGTATCTAATATTTTGATATAGGTGACTTTCTTGATGTGCAAGTCCTACAAGAGCTTGGATCAGACTGATTTTAGAGTAATATACCAATTTGAATAATGTCAACTGATGATCATGATATGACAATACTTGGTAACATGTGGGATACAAGATGACCTTTGGTCTTGCCCTACTCTATCTGGAAGAAATACTTCACTTCTTTTCATTATTAACATGAGCAAATTAAACTTTAGTTACACTCTTATGCATGATTTTCCTTTTTTTCAAATAGAAAAACGTGTATAAATAATCTCTTTGTTTTCTGTGCGCCATTTTGCACTTTAAAGAATGGGCCTGTGATTGTAGTACCACAATACTCTGCTTTCTAAGCTGTAGTGCGTGTATGTGGATGGGAAAAGAAGGAAAATGAAGTGGAAAATGTAGACTTTTGTTTAACTGTAAAAAGTGCCTCTCATTGGTATAGGCAGACCTTTCAACTTTCGACTCGAGCCAAAAAAACATTTTTTTCAGGATGTATATTTGTGTTTTGTACATCGTAATTACTAGTTAGACAACCTCTTTTCAGTGAAGATGCAATTGATTTGATCATCACTTACAGTTTTGTCATTTCTCATAAAAATAGGCATACCATGATTGAACTGTCTGTATTTCTTCACCAATTGTAGCTTTCAAATATTGTTTCCTGTATCTAAACATGTTTATTCTTACAAATGTATTGTAGCATGGATAATTGATTGACGTGTATACAGGCCATAACTCTGTTCTTGTGAGGACCTCCAAATTGGATGATTGGTATGCAAAATGATGAATGAAAATTCCAGTTTTAGTGAAACAATAAATTATACTGTGATGAGCATTAAAACAGTATTTTAGGTATGATATATGGTGAGACATCTCTTCCCTCTTTAAAATATACTGATAAAACATTCTTCAGCATAATTATATTTTAATTTTCCATGTCGATAAAAAAAAGCAAGTTGATTGAATGGAAAAATTACTGCTTGCTGGTGACATATTGCCAAATTTGAATCTTGTAAGTGCAGTTCACTGGTAAGTCAGTGATAAGTAACTCAATGTTACATAATAACAATTTGGACTAAGGAATGTAATGCTAAGAAAATTAAGATATGGAGATATGTGTCTTTTTTGTAATCCTAACCCTTTACTTTGAAAGATCTGTTTAGCTGTAGTTATTTTCCTTGCATCCTCGCTTTTTGAGGAGTTGTTATGATGGTCATTCAGTTACAAACAAAGCAATACTCGTGGGATTAGTCATGGTATTTTTTTGTTTCTTATCAAAGTGAAGAATCTTGGAAAACTCTTTGCACTTGAGAGAAATTGCTCTCAAATGTGCTCCCTTCATACATTTTTAATAATATTTGTATTAATTAGGTCCATGGGTAAATCCTGACTTTGATGATGGAAAGGTATTGTCAAAAGATTAAATAAAGAATGGCTATATGAGTTAGAATACTTCTGGAGGAAGTAAGAATTTTTTTGAATAAATTAAATCTAGAAATAACAGGATATTAATGTTATGATCCATACATTTGGTGTAAAGAATTGAACACCATACATCTAATGTAGTAGGAAAACTAGTTTTTGTGTTTCATCCCGCTCCCATATCTTTGAAAATATATCATACTTCTATGAATTCCAGAACATTCTTTTCACTAACCATGTCAAAAAAAAAGTAGTAGTTCAATTGCATGCATTGTTCCAGCACATTATGCTATTTTCAACCCTGCATGCTATTTAAACGATGACTCAAATAATCTCCCATAATGATTTCCAGTAAGTCTGGAGGTAAAGGACTTACAGTGACATGGCAAATGTTTGAGGCAACTTGTCAATTTTTTGTTGTGCCATTTAATATCTCATTGAGTCCTGTTATAATCATGTATAAATGTATGTAGAGGTTTTGTTCAGCTGTATGTTTTTTTTTCTTCAGTTGTGAAATTTTCTTTGAAAGAAAATAATTTGTAGAGATCTATTATGTAATCTTTTTTTGATCAAGGAAACTGGAAGATGGTTTGCTTTTTTTGAATCATGGTATTATTATATACAGAGTTATTAAAATACATCTTTGCACATACACACGAAAAAGGTCTTTTCATTTATTTTTGTGGAGTTCATCATGTGTAGATATTTTATCGTGGATATTATTGTGGATAGATGAGGTAGTGCAATCTTGGAAGGGGCAAATAAAAACAAAGGTGAAAGAAAAACAGACTCACAGAGAAAGCAAGTAAAAAAAAAGGAGAAGATTGAGAGAGATGATATTGAGAAGGAGGAAAAGGAGGGGTTAAACTAAGATGAGGAATTTAAACTTGTATTCAGTGTTGAGATGGGGGATAAAGAAACAAATTACCGTGATGGCATGTGACACAAATCGAAAGCATATTTCTGTATTATGTGTGCTTTCCTGTTTATAAACAAGATAACATCAAGTGTGCATAATTTTACTCAGAAGACATGAACCGGGCAGCGTTTCTCGAAACCGTCATAACTACAAGTTCACCGACATCCCATTGAAACGCGTGTATTAAGTTTAACACGCGTTTTAATGGGATGTCGGTGAACTTGAAGTTAAGACGATTTCGAGAAACGCTGCCCCGATCACGTACCGGTACGGTACGCTTGTCATGCGCATGCACTGCACTGATGTCGTCATGAGTTTCCGCTCCGCCCCCTTTTAATAAAGATAATAAGGACCAAGGTCGATCCCCAACAAGCGCAACAAGCTCCGTGATTTTGCCTCGGCTTTCGGACGACATTCACACCTTTTAGGTAATTATGAATTATAATCATACATTTGATTTATTTTAAGAAATGCTAAGGATCACGACGGCGTAGTAACCGCTGCAGGAAATGGGTAAAAAATGCGAACAAAATTATGAACGGTCCCACATACCGGCTTCTACGTTATGACATTTTCAGATTTCCTTGAATCTTGATTGTTCTAATACTAATAGTAGATCTACTTATAATAACTTATACTCTGAGCTGACATATGTCGTGTGTGCCTGGACAGCTTGTGTTTTCGGACAGTTGATTTAAAACGGTATTTTAAAGAAGTTTACACACACTTTTTTCTAGACAATATCATAAAAGGGAAAATATTGATGATTGGCACACATATCTGCAATACGATCCTGGCTGTGTGTTAAAAGCTGTGCTATTGAATCTTAACATTTCAAACACCACTGTACAAAACTCAACTGATTTCACTAAAAAACGGTACTTTAGTGACAATTGATGACACCTAAATAGCAGTAAAATACAATTGTTTCAACTTACCGATGTAAAAAAGAATAATTTAACAATTCAAATTGTAAGTCTACTGTCAAACTTGCCGATCAGCCACATCGTGTTTATTTTGTGCATTTGTGTGTTGTGAATGTATTGACTATTTGTGTGTGCAATTGCTGCCTATTGGCACGTTTGCAGCGCTAGAGGTCAATACTGAGTAGGCATCAGCTTTGACTCTCTAGGTGCTTTGCTGCATGGAGTGATGATTGGTGATGATATTATACAACAAAGCAGTGTAAAAGTTCCATTCAAAATAAAATTAGCCTCTGGGAAATATGTTTCTTGATATCCAACTTCTATGATCTCCTCATACTCATAAGAGAAGAATATTTAAATCCCATTGCCTTTCCCAAAATTAAGTATGACGTAGAAAAATTTGTTTGAATTTACAATTAAACCTGTTGAAGCGCTTAATTAATTGGAAATCCAGAATTGGTCGTGCCTGTGGCAGGCCTGGCTTCTTAATTCAATGTTTAGTGTAGAAGACATCTGACCAGCCAGCGTGTATGGTCTCTTACTTTCCTGTCTAATGATCTCTGACTTAATGTTTGCATATATGTAATTAACAGATAATCAGGTATTTCCAAAGATGGCTTCTCAGGAGAAGACAGATTCATCTCAGCAGCCTCTCCAGTTTGCGCCATTCAGTAGTGCCCTTGACGTTGGGTTCTGGCATAAGCTTACTCAGAAGAAGCTGAATGAATACAAGCTGGATGATGGACCAAAGGACATCTATGGATACTACTACAATGGTGAGTAAGGAGGCAGTGTAAGTGCGCCCCTCCCCTCTGTTCTTGATGCAGGCTCGGGTTCAGAGGAAAACACTCCGTTCCTCGGACTAGAATATTAACTGGAGGCTCCATGTATAAGAGAGTCACACCCTATGCACTATGACACTCATCTGAACTTTCTCGTCCAAACTTTCTCATTCTTTCTATTTTTCTTGTGCGCCTCGGAATAGCATTGTCTAGATAGACGGTGCTATATACAAATGCCTATTATTATTATTATTATTAAAAGGCTACACTTTGCGCAAAGAGTAGGGTGTAAAGCCAGTGTTTAGTGTACCTTTCTACAGATATCTTTGTGATAGGCTGCATAGCCCTTTTAAGATAAAAAATAGAAGGAAGAGGAAGAATGTGCATTATTTAGACAGTCGTTCATGTCATTATATCATACATCTCAAAGTCATTGGCCTACCCGTACCCGTCTTGCGGCATTTAAAGCAATGTAACATGGAGTTGGACTTTATTGTCAAAAACAGTGAACTATATTATCACTAATCACTATAAGGTTAATTCAGGACACACACATTCATAATGAAACATTGATTGCTGACTGCGTTGATTTACAAGACATCAGACGGATGAAGATTGTTTATATCTGGCTCATTTGGATGTCTTTGTAAATATTTTTGAGTACCGATAGTTAGAAGAAAGATAGACAGTGGTCATTTTCTGATTTATGTGTAAAGTAATACGATTCATTGTGCTCTTCTCTAATGCTATCCAGATTTCTGGTTTTGATAGACGCATGTTCTGGCGGTGGACATTTAAATCAAATGACTCAGAGAAGAAACCACAAAAAGCAGTGGAATACACCATTTTCATGTTTCTGAGCAACAGTGTTCTTGAAAAGCACTAGTGTCTCTACAAAACAATTATCATAATATACCGGTACATGGCTTCTTATCCATTTTAAATCTTTAACTATAGTTATAAATGTCTTGTTGAATTCAGTTAAATGACATATATGGTTTCAGAAAATAGACTTACCGGTATGTTGACATTTTCTTTTTTTCTTTTTTTACAGGTGATCCAGATGGGCTTCCTTGCAGACTCTCTCTGGAATTCAATGCATTTGATCAGTAAGTACAATTTCATGATGAGAAAAAGCATTATTACATGGTACTTTGGAGGTTGAATGATCAATCTATTCATATTTCTAAATCCTAGTATTTGCATATATATATATATATATATATATAAGGACATGTTAGACCTTATTTCAGTGATTAATTGGTTCCTTGAACAAACCTTTTTTTTTTTAAATTGTCATTAATTTGTTATTACACAATTCCTGATCAATTAAAACTTTCAATAACTGTGTATAAAAAATGAGATGCCATCATGATAATTAAAAGCAAGAAGACAAAATAAATCTCAACTAAGAGCTTCTATTCATACTTTGCATTTTCCAAACTTGCATGGTTGAGCTTCAAATGTTGTGTCAGGTTATCTCTCGTGCTAAAACCATGATTTATTTCAGGTCAGAGACAACTCCACCTCACTGTTTTTCTTCAAGAGGAACACTGGTCAACTTCAATACGCTGGATGCTTTCAAAACATGTGACAAAAAGGCACTGCTTGATGTGACAGCTGAGCAGGTACTGTAACCGCGGAAAATATTTGTGGTACATTAATTTTCATGGATTTCGCGCTAAAGTTGGTGTCCGCAAATTTTAGAACCTGCAAAAATATAAACATGACTTCTTATGCGTGTTCTGAACGGACTGATGCAAGGCGAATTTAAGAACCAGCGAATATGTTTTGGGGTCGCTTAGCGCTCAGCGCTTAAAAATGAATCACGCGAAAATAACAGCTTTTACAGTAATCACTTTCAAAGCAGATGTTGCTTGTATGGTCCTATCAGGAGGTTTATTTGTTGTAATTTCATTATTTTTAAATGAAGAAGAATGATTGAAATTCTAATTCAATTGAGCTATATTGTATGCTTAGAACTGTACAGAATTACTCATTAATGAATTAAAGAAATTAATAACTTAATAGATAAATTGGACAATGTAAGAAGATATGTAACTAAATACAGGTACAGTGCTACAGTTAGGGGTGATTTGATACACATGTAGCTTTTAGATTACTGAAGTTTCAGTTTCTATGTCATTCTCTTGTATTATTGACACTGATGTATAAAGACCATTATTAAGTACCGGTGATGGTTATTATTTTTAGGTAAGTCATGTGAATTCAAGTTGTTTCTTTTTCTTTCTCTCTCTTGCTCTCTATCTCTCTCTCTCTCTCTCTCTCTCTCTGGCTCGCACTCTCTCTCCCTCTCCCTCTCTCTCGTTCTCTCTCTCTCTCTCTCCTTCTGTCTCTCGCTCTCTCTCTCTCTTTCTCTACCTCTCTCCCTCTTTCCCTCTCTCCCTCTCCCTCTCATTCTATCTATATCTTTCTGTACATTGCAGCTATGGGATGACATCAGGCAAGGCAGCGCTATTCAAGATCCATCCTTACTGTCTCGGTTCCGGCTTCTGACGTTTGCTGTAAGTGAAGGGTTCAGTAACTGTATCGCAATGATATACGACCAGAATGAGTTGTTGAAAATATATATATGCTGCTTTCAGAATGATGGTAGTCATCGGGGGATGATGAGTAAATGGTTTTCTTATTCTCTGACAGCAGTCGTAGTCTGACTGGAAATGAAGAGTTCTGAAAAGTACATCGGTGTACTTAAAACATCAGTCCATGTTGCTGCTAGCCATGCAAACACAAACCTTTATGTCTTCTTTTATTTACTCTGACTTTTTACTTTTTATCATGATCTTTTATGCTTATTTAAAGGGGCAGTATGAGTTTTTACTTCTCTGAATAAATTGAGGTCGAGCAAGGTTTTGATCTGCTGATAATTTCACCCTGTCCAATAAGTCATATGATACCAAGTCCAATTGTTCTAAGCAAGATACATGTATGTGACAAAGAATAAAACCTTGGTGAAAATAACAAAGGAAACAATGGTGGACAATCCCAGAACAACATGTCATTAACAGTCAAGTGTGAGATGTTATATGCAAAATATTAAGGGTACAACCAGTGTTTTTGAAAGGGTTAATGAGCTCAAAGCATGAACTTCTGAGATCAATGGGCTGTGTTCATGTAATATTGCATCATTTTTTGCAAACTCTTATTTGATTGTGCTAGAAATATGACCTTTTTTAAAAACAATATATGTCATCTGTTTCATTCCGAATCTAAATTTCCCATGTTCTTTTACCAGGACTTGAAGAAGTACCACTATTGCTACTGGTTTGCCTTCCCAGCTCTCCTGGCACCAGAAGGAACTAAGCTCATTCAGCCTCCAGAAAAGTTAGATAAGGCTATGGATCAAGACAAGGTTAGTCTATGACAGAATTCTCAGAATGCTTTTTTCTGTTAAGAACCATTGAGTATTACTCTTCAGTACTTTTAAGAAGAATCACTAATGTGCTTTCCTAGGTCTCCAAAGGTTTAACAGTCTCAAAGGTATAGACCAGTTTTTAAAACACCCCCTCTCAAAAAAAGAAATGGAAGGTCTTATTACCAATCATGTAAAAGAATATAGTTGGACTAGTACTTGATGATACAAATTTTGCCGGGAAACCGACTACTAGTTGATATATTTGTAAATTACCTTGATAGATATCGCGAATGCACTTCAACATTTAACATTTGGGCATATATTTCTGTTTTTTTGCGAATTTAGGTTGAAGTATTGCCATTTAAACCTCTGAAGGCAATATTTAAACAATATTGAATGGATATTTTGCACCCGAAACCCTTGAAACGCAATTTTACCACTACCGGTCTTTACTTTTAAATAGGATTCTAGGTATGTTATGAAGAACATTTGGTTTACCTCCTTAAGCTCACATTCCCTCAAAGGAACTAAACTCATTCAGCCTCCTGATAGATTAGATAAGTTATGGATCAAGAAAAGATTAATCTGTAACAAACTAGAGGGTTTGATAGGTCTTTTATTGACTTGGGAGCAAGCCCTTCATTCCAAATTGGCATCAATAAAATAAGAAAAATAAGAAAAAAAATCTTGAAAGTCAAGATGACATGCCATATGTTATTAGGAATTTCATATTTTTGTATACTTTTGTCATGCTTGTGTGATATTGTTTGGTCTTTTCTCTCCATAAACTAAACCATTGCCATGACGATATGATCTTGTATCTTTCAGATAACAGCCCTTCAAGCGGCTTATGATTTAGCTTCACAGTCATTGGGTCAAGAACCAGCATTCTTTCTCATATCCACAGAGGATGACAAAACAGTGGTGCTACCCCTGACAGCCTGGGACCAAGTCACAGATAAATCTAAGGTACAGTGCCCGGTTTCACAAAACTTGTCATCAGTGACGAATGAACGTTTTTATTATAAGCTACTGAAATCCCTGCTTCTGATTGGTTATCAGCAGATTTGTCATTTGTCATTGAAAAAAAGACTTTGTGAAATGCCCCCCCCCCCCCCCCTCTTGTCAATGAAGTATTGCTCTAAGGATATGATAATCCATGTTTAAATGAAACTGAGTTTTTGCAATCACATAGCAGATAATATCAGTTTCTAATTCAGACTGGTTTAACATGTTGATATCTTCCTGTTTGAAGCTTTAGATCCAGTTCCATGAACATTGAAATGATAAAGTTTGCATTGTATAGACCCTTTTTACATTTCTTCATTACAACAAACTCCTTGGGGCCAAGGAAATTACTTTTTTGTATCAAAATCTTGTTATATCAGGACTAAAAACAAGAGGATACAGAGAAGAATTACCAGTTAAATACTTTTTTTTATAATAAACAAGTGTTATTCAAGTGTTCTTCATGATGAGGGACTACTGGATATATATATTGTCTAGATTTAAAATATATCTTTCTGGGTGATAGTTTATCTTGTTTGTAACCGATGATGTGTCAATCGTGGTTTTCTTTACAGGTAATGTTTGGTTATGCTGATCCCTGTACCTTAGAGCAGTATCCAGGATGGCCTCTGAGGAACTTCCTTTGTCTCATCTCCTGCCACTGGTAAGAAAACAGAATATTTGTCATATGTGGTTGTTGTTTTGATTTTGAACGTTAGGCTTTCTTGGAGAAGCATAGATTTTTAGCTTGCACCCAGTAGATGAAGATTGCGTGCTCGATCTTGTTTGCTCCGATGTCAAGATTTTTCTGACATGTTTCAATTACATGATCGAGCACACAATCTTTATCTACTGGGTGCATGTTTTGATTTTGTCTCACCGTAAAATCTCCGGTGGCAAAAAAGTGCATCTTATACACAGAGATTGACGGTATTTTGATTTGTTTTGGGTTATATGTATAAGGACAGAGTGATCCATGTGAAGATGACAGTCACAATCATTCCCGACATGGGACTAATATCCTTTGGCAAGATATTAATCTGCTACTCTTCACCCAGGTGTTAAATGGGTACCTGGTAGGATGCGACCGTCATTGTTGGTCAAACAGTTTTTTGAGCGTCAAGTAATGCCTGGCTGGAATGCTCCCCAGGGAGTAGATATTGTGCAGACAGTGTGTGCGGGCAAGTATTGAATCCAATATCTAGGGTAATAGTATATCTGTAAAGCGCTTAGACACATCATAGATGTATTAAGCGCGATATAAAAGCAGAATATTATTATTATTATAGTTACAGACAATCAAGTTTGATGATCAAGATCAAGCTGTACCATCACTTTTGTGACAATAATTGGCTTTTTACTATTTGTTTACTTCAAGTGAGCTGAGACAAGGGATATGCATAGTTCACCAAGGATGGGTGTATGAACCTCATCATTGTGAAACAGTAATTATGTATCTTTGAAGTACTTTGATGGGATGATTACCTGAGGTTAAACACTGGTGATGTTAGTGTTATGTAGATAAAAGGAGTTGGTATGAAAGGAAAGATTCATTTGAATTACTTTTGGTCTCATTTCAGGGCTTCTCAGCTGGACCAAGTGACAGTGGTTTGTTTCAGGAACAGGACTAGAGAAGGAATCAGGAACAGTTCCCATAGTTTGATCCTCAGACTACAAGTCCCTTCAACAAGTCCTGAAATATGTGAGTCAAACTAGGTTGTAACAAGCATTTGCAGCTCAAACCCAATACTAGGTGATGATCCTTGATATTTGGTTTAAAATGGCAGGAGCTATCAAAGATCATGAAGATAAGGACTGAGTGGGAAAACCTTTTATGTAGGTACAGTATTTTGTACGCTTCACCTTATAGTTTGTTAGTTGGTTTGAAAGTTGGTAGGTTTGTTTGTATTACCTGACTGCTAATAAAGCATGTGTAATGCTTGTAAGTAAGCAAGCAGGGGACTGATGTTTTAAGTCCTCACCAAAGGGCATTAGCACATCAAATTGATTTGGAACCTGGGACCTCATGGTTATGCAACCACTGCTCTACCACTCAGCCATAAGCCTAATAACATTATGACAATCACATCTATATATCATTTTCCATGTCCTTATCTTTACTGTTCTTGACTTGCATGGGATTCTTTTTCTGTAAAGCTCAGACGTGACACATTCTATTTTGTATACAAATATTGAATTTTTAACACATTAGCATTGAGACTTTATTGTTATCTACATTCTAATTAATATTCATGATGCTGGTCCTGATAGTGTGTTAACGATATTTCTTGATAGACTTCTGATTGTGCACACAGTGTGTGTGGGAAAGTATTGAATCCAATGACCGGGGTAATAGTATATCTGTAAAGCCCTTAGAGACATCATAGATGTATTAAGTGCTATATAAAAGCGAAATATTATTATTATTATTATTATTATAATGCATTTTGTAAATACTCTTCATCCGACAGCTTGTCCTAAATGTGTTGGATGGGAGAAGAATCAGAGGAATAAACTTGGTGCCAGGAAAGTGGACCTCAGCTCTAGCATGGACCCTACAAGGTTAGTTTCTTTACTATGGTGGATAATGTTGAAACTACATGCATACAAAAATTGATCACATATCCAACAGAAAACAATTTTACATTAAAAAGTTCTAAGGTAAAAGTCTTTCTATAAAAATCAAATTTATATCTCTTTTTTTAAAATTTTTTAACTATATCTCTTTGGGTAGAATACAGATTGTGACCAGTCGGGTAGAATGACACCCTCCAAATATATACACCATTTACTCAACAACCGACACATGTAAACTTATCATTCCCAAATCTAGACTCTCAGCAGCTGAAAACGTTTTGCAGTAGCCACATCAAAGACTTGAAACAGCATCCCCCTTTCCAAAAGAGAAATTACCACCTTGCCACCTTCAAAAGATCCCCCAGAACCTACCTTTTTCCTAAGTGATCTACTTCCCGTGAGACTGTAAACTTTTGTCCTCTTTTCATATATTTGTACTTGTAAGCGCTATGGTGCTTATTGTGTTTTTTTACGTTCCTATATCTTCTATATTGTTATTATTATTATTACTATATAGCATAGCTCACAGCGAGGTCATTGTTACAATGTCAACATCGATAGCATATTAATCTATGCAAGTAATCTACTCCTTGGCAGATGATATCCAATCTGAAATTGCCAAGAGAGAGAGTTTTTTTTGTGTTTTTCTAGGAAGTAAGTCATGAATTTTTGCTGCAAGTTCATATACTTGCATTAATACATCATTTGTAATACAAGAACCGTGCATTCCCCCAAATCAGAATACTTCTTGAATCTAAAGGAGTGCAATGCCCTTCGGAACTCATTATCAAGTAGTCTGCCGAGTATGAAAGTAAAGAATAAAGGTGTTAATAACACTTAACTACTGACTGTTTGATTTTGTCCCACAGACTAGCAGAGACGTCGGTAGATCTGAATCTCAAGCTCATGAGATGGCGTCTGCTGCCCTCACTAGACCTGGATAAGATCTCCCAGACAAGATGTCTTCTGCTCGGCTCCGGTACTCTAGGATGCAATGTGGCTAGATGCTTACTGGTAAGTAAAATTTAGACATTTTGGCGTTAATCCACTTCTTTTAACCCCACCACTATCAAATTTTGTTAATTTAATGACATATATGTTCTGCTAAGTTTTGGCTACATATGCATAGTCTTGAACATCAAGATTAAAATTTGTTTATAGTTGGGCAACTCCAAACGATTTTGTTCCATGTTACTGACCACATCTAAGATTTTATGATCATTGTATTAATGTAATATAGCTACATGGGTTTTGATTTATAGCTATGACTTCATAATACATTTTAGCATGTGGCATGACTGAATAATGTATACATGCTCAGTTCTGTCTGTCCACTTATGGGTATGTGGTTGAATTTATAGAGTTGGAGGTATTTGAGTTTATGTTCTTATAACTACTCTGTTTTTATGTCATAGGGATGGGGTGTTCGTACCATTACAGTGTCCAATTCTGTCAAACAGAGTCTCTTTGAGTTTATGTTCTTATAACTACTCTGTATTTATGTTACAGGGATGGGGTGTTCGTACCATTACAGTGTCCAATTCTGTCAAACAGAGTCTCTTTGAGTTTATGTTCTTATAACTACTCTGTTTATGTTACAGGGATGGGGTGTTCGTACCATCACCTTTGTGGACAACTCTACAGTGTCCTTCTCCAACCCTGTCAGACAGTGTCTCTTTGAGTTTATGTTCTTATAACTACTCTGTATTTATGTTACAGGGATGGGGTGTTCGTACCATCACCTTTGTGGACAACTCTACAGTGTCCTTCTCCAACCCTGTCAGACAGTGTCTCTTTGAGTTTATGTTCTTATAACTACTCTGTGTTTATGTTACAGGGATGGGGTGTTCGTACTATCACCTTTGTGGATAACTCTACAGTGTCCTTCTCCAACCCTGTCAGACAGAGTCTCTTTGAGTTTGAAGACTCTCTGGGAGGCGGGAAACCCAAGGCTCAAACTGCAGCCGAGAAGATAGAAAAGATCTTTCCAGGAGTAGTAAGTAGTCTAAATCTATGATGTCATCAATAATAATTATCCGTTCCTTGGATAGAACGTTAAATGGAGGCCCTGTGTAGAGGAGAGTCACCACCTTAAGAACCCACTGCACTATTCTTATAAGAGTAGGAGGGAACCCTGATGTAATGGTCCACCTGCACACCCCAATCAGGCCGAGTATATGGAGCATCTGCAAGAATCTTCAGTATTGAAGGAGGCAGATCATCAAGAAGAAGATGTATACCGTATATATATATATATTATATTTTTTTTTTTTTTTGGGGGGGGGGGGGGAACCAATCATAAAAAGCACAGCTACAAAACAATGGCAAAATACAAAAACATTATGAGAATATGAAAGAACAAAAGGAGTTGGAGCAGTAGATGGGTTAGGGTGCAAAAAGTGAAATGCAACACTGTTGCCTGGAGGCGTTTTCCCCCATTATTGGTGACTTATAATGAGAGTGATATCACGCTCACATGTAAGTCAAGGCTTGAGTGCTCCTAGCGCTCCAACATTGTTACCCCCATCATAGCCAGCGGCCAAATATGTTGAGCTTTGGCATAATGTATATCTATTTACACCTGGGTGGAGAGTGGCAAATGTGGATTAGTCACCCATGTCATGTCTTCATAGGCTGAAAGGTAACATTGAAGAGGTTTTAAAAAAAGCAAATTGTATGCAGTTCAAATGGCTTTTTGCTCATATAGTCCTCAGATTTGTCATTATTTTACTATAATCTGTTAAGAAATCATGAGCATGTTTTGTGTATAGTTCCTTTCTTTCATTCTTTCTTTCGTTCCTTCTTTCTTTTTTCTGTGTTTGTTTGTTTGTCTGTGAGTTAAATTATTTCTTAAATTTTCTTATCATTTTCTGCCTTGTGCTATTAACTTTGTATCCATTTTTGTTAATTTGAAATTTTCAGAAAACAAGAGGAGTGAGTCTGTCTATTCCAATGCCAGGACATGCAGTAGGCACATCAGGTATGTGTTAAAGCAGAAATTATTAAAATTAGTATTTTTTTTAATGCACATTTTATGCCATGTTCATCAAAAAGTCAACTTGAAAATTGCAGGACAAACTTTTCTCTTAGTGAATAAAACAGATTTATTGTTTTGCATGTAGGTAAGATTTGTCTCACAAAATGTACTGTCCTTTTTAATGTTAGCCACCATTCTTTTTTTAGCAGCGTTTGTCAGATGTGTCTGTCTGGAATATGTTTCATTGTTTAAACAATTTCAATATCAGTATTTAGAGAAGAATGTGTTCAAAGGCAACACCAACAAGTGTATCAATTAAGTTTTTTACCAAAATAATGACCAAGAAAGACTTTAATTTTGGTTTTGAATCATCAAATTAATCATGTCCCATTTCTCATTACAGATGAAGCTATACAACAAACTAGGGAGTCTGTTCAGAAACTGGAAGAGCTGATAGATGAGCACGATGTGGTCTTCCTTTTAATGGACACACGAGAAAGCAGATGGCTTCCGACCGTCATCTGCAGCAGTAAGAGGAAGGTACTTTGACCTCAAGTTCTTTTCATTCTTGTGACAGTTCTTTTTTTGTTTTTTTATAGGAAACCACACGAATGATGGGCTGGTAGATTGTTTTCAAATCAAAGATTATCGATATTTATTAGGAAACTGCAATAAAATGTACTCTAACCATAACTTCAAATTTATGTTTGTTTGATTAAGTTAAACATTCTTTTTTATCTTGACCATGATTATAAGATTTTCACAAATCCCAAGAATGGGAGACATGAACCAATTACATGAACTTGTAGAAGAGGATGTACCTTACATCATGATATCAATTAGGAGACGCTGTCATACTTTATAGGGAAGATATTTTAGATAAATTGATTTCAATAAACCTAACAATTAAATAATAATTGCTTATTAGTAGAGCCGGGTAATATTGGAGCTCCTTGAGCACCTTGCATGATGGATATGTACACTATATAAATATCTGATATTATTATTATTATTATTATTATTTATCTATGAATCTCTAACAATCCATCTTTATCATTCATCTCTTTGGGGATCAAATGAACGCTTCCTTTCTTAGATCGTAATGAATGCAGCATTGGGATTCGATACCTACTTGGTGCTACGCCATGGAATGAAACCAGCACGAGACCAGCCTCCACCAGACCAGACTCCATCCTCCTCCGCATCATCTGGAGCAGCAGGAGGAGCAGAAGGAGGAGCAGCGGGCGGAGCATCATGTTCAACCTCCTCCATCAGTCTCTCTCATATTCCAGGAGATAAGCTGGGATGCTATTTCTGCAACGATGTTGTTGCCCCTGGCGATGTGAGTAGTCAAAATCAATTTCATTGATGCTCTCCCCTTTCCCAGCTTCCCTTCAAAATTGCATGACAACTAGCATTGCATTGTATTCATTGATGTGTGACTTCTTTTAATGTATTTCTATAATTTCAGTTATTGGTTTATTTCATATAAACTACAGTGCATAAGACTGCAGTCAGTGTTAGGCGATATTCCTGCAATTCTAGTTGCTTCATGCATATCCTATTCGTCTTATGTCTTGTTGCCTTTTGTTAGTAGGATTTAATATGTCTTTGGTCTTCCTCTTTGTGAACCTTCTGTTTTCACTCAGCTACCCACCATTTTCATTTCATCATTTCACCGTTGACCTATCCTTATTACCAATGACCCATGATGATCCAAACTCTTAATCTTTCTTGACCAGTCAACCCGAGACCGGACGTTAGACCAGCAGTGTACAGTGTCCAGACCTGGCCTGTCCATGGTGGCCGCAGCCCTCGTGGTTGAACTCATGGTCAGCATTCTGCAGCATTCACAGGGGTAAGTTACATCAGCTCATATTGCATTGGAGGTACAGTCAAACCTGCTTTGGTGACCACCTGTATAGAAAGACCACACTTTTTGTTTTCCTTGAATATGGTTTTTTTATTGAAACCTGTACTAAAGGAACCTGCACATAAAGACCTCCTGCCTATAAAGAACACTTTTCATGTTTCCCTTGAGGGGTCTTTATATACAGGTTTCAGTACATTAACTAGGACAATGAAACATGTTTCAATAATGGCCACATGTTTATGTACAAAATATATGGGCAGACACAACTATAAAGCTGTCTGATCTAGGTTGGGGTGTTGAAAGAACTTGCCATTCCATACACTTCAAATGATACCTAGATTTGACATACATTGTATCGTCCCTATTTTCACGAAGTGACGGTAGTGAGGAAAATCATAACGCAAAGTGAATGCAATTTTAGTTCACTACCGTCACTTCGTGAAAACAGCGACGGTATGCCTCATTTGAACAGCTTCTCCACCAATAAAATATACATATTTTTATGATGTACAATGAAGATTTGATGATTGACCAACCTTTGGCCATAGAATTCAAAACTGAACTCCATGTGAAGTCTTGGGAAAATCTGTTCTTTTTTTTTGGGGGGGGGGTGTCTTTGTACTTGTGCATGGGAATCTAATTCAACTCTTTAGATTGTGAATATTTATTCATTACATTTAAACTTATGATCGTTTGATAAAATTATCAGAACATAGATGTGTTAACCAAATCATACAAAAACTCTTTCTTTTCTCTAGAGCCTATGCAGCAGCCGAGACCAGTGCCAAGGACTCTCATCTTACAGTTGATCTCACATCACCGTTAGGTCTCGTACCTCATCAGGTGAGGAATGATAACCTAGGGGGTGTTTTACAAAGTCAAACTTAACTCTAAGTTGGGCTTAAAAATAATTATGGAGAGCCATTTGTAGCCTTAAAATTAAATATTCCCAAAAGCAGAAATTGAAGTATTTTAGACTTTTCATGAATTCCACATCAAGAATATGAAATCTCCTTGATAATAGAAAATATGAATGATTTGAATCAACATTTTATGCCTTTTGAAAAACTTTTACAAAATATTTTTAATGATGCTAATGGCTTTCCATAACTGTTAAGTCCAACTTAGAGATAAGTTCAACTTAGGATCTTTGTGAAACATCCCTCTGGACCCTGTCGGAAGTTTATTATTAATCATCACCTCCAGGTTTGATACCTCATTATGAGGTATAATAATAATGATGATAATATTGGGTTCTTGTATAGCACTCATTTCTGTCAGACTTGACGCTCCTGGCGCTGCCCAATATTATTGCCCGGCTTTAGCATGGCTGCTATTATGGCGCTCTTGCATTTCAAGGAATTAGTTCCTGCCATGTAACCATTTACATCACCTGGGTCGAGTGTGGCAAATGTATATTTATGTCTTGCCAAAAGGACAGTAGTGTGACGGAAGGACTCTAACCGCAAACCATGTGATCCACAGCCCGGTGACGTATTCACTCGACCATGACTTATTTACATATCATATTTACGTATCATCAAATTTATATATATTTAATCCACATTAAAGTCGTTGCTTACCTCTAGACCGGTCAGTAACTGATTTCATAGGGTATTAATGATCTGGGTTGACCGAGACTGAATTATTAGGCCTTGTATCTCATCGCCTCATAAGACATCAAAGACCTGTATTTAACCTAGACTAAAAGTAGTCCAGATGGTACTGTTGGTCTCAGAATACATTACATACTGTTTCTACATTGTTCATGCAAACATCCTCTTATAAATTTCAAGTTCATGTTAGAACCACTTCTATGAAGCATATCATTACAACAACACAAGTAGTGCATGTATAGGTATTTGCTCTACTAATCGTTTTTTCGTGTCTCCTTAGATCAAGATTAATGCACAGTTCCTAAATTAAATTCAATTCAATTATGTTCTTACATCGCCCAATGGCTGCGATGGCTGTCTCATTTACAAGGGCCAGGTCTTCATCTGTGCAACCCGTTCCGCCGCACTGCAATATGTGGTCCATCGTCTGAGTCTCTCCGCAGTCGCAGAGAGTATCTTCTACATGGGCATAATCCCCTCTTGCCATATTGGCGTTACACTGCCCCATTATCGTCCGCATTCGATTTAGGCACTTCCACTCCAGCCACTAATAAATGTCATTGATAAATGTCCGGCTCTAATAAATGTCATTGATTATCCTGCTATATGTTGGAAAATTTGCTTCATATTTCATTACGTATATTTTGTAAAGAATCCCTTTCCTCCATTGTGTTTTATAGATTCGAGGATTCCTAGCCCGCTATCACTGTGTTCTTCCTGCTAGCCTGTGCTTTGATAAGTGTACAGCATGCTGTGACATCGTCTTGGCTAGCTACGAGAGAGAAGGGTTTGACTTCCTGCTCAAGGTGTTCAACAAGCCACGGTTTGTTGAAGATTTGACGGGGCTCAGTCAGCTGCACTTGGAGAGTGAGCTTATAGAGGTAAGATGATAGGATTTGACCCGTGTCCAGACACCTACCCCCTGGACATCCACCCCCGGATAACCACCCCCAGTCAACTACCCCTTAGGACAACTACCCCCTATGATAGTTGTCCAGGGGTAGTTGTCCTAGAGGATGGTTGTTGTAGGGGGTAGTTGTCCAAGGGGGTAGTCATCCTAGAGGGTGGTTGCCCTAGGGGTATTTGTCCTGGGGGGGGGGGGGTAGTTGACTGGGGGTGGATATCCAGGGGGTAGATGTCCTAGAACCGATTTGACCTTCTAGATTGAATGCAGGAAGGGCATAAGTGCACCTACTTGAAACGGTTGAAACAGCATGCTCCCATGACAATAGCTTAGTGATCGTGATCTTCTACCCTGGGTGAATACCTGAATTTAACCCTGGATCAAACTCTATACCAACCCTTCACCATGACGGGAAATCTAACCTCTTTCTAAAAACAACTCACAACCCTAACTCTGATCATGTTTTTAATGAAATATAGGTGGCAGGAATTGTCACCTGAACAAATGTTGGATCATCTCCTAAAACTTGTATTTCAAGCATTGTTGATGTTTTTACACTTTAAAGAAAATTATTATTAGTTTATTGATAAGTCAGTTATAACTTGATAAATATGAGATATGTTAGATTCACATGGTGACGTGACTTTTTGTGTTTATGTTCTCCTCCCATTGCAGATTCTTGATTTCAGTGATGATGAAACAATGAGCACATCTTCTCAATGATTCCAGCATCTATCATTCCTCAGACTGTGAGAGGACAGTGATGTCACTGGATGGCAGCCAGATAATCAAAGAGAGAGAAGTTCTTTATGAAAAGAAAACAGAGAAAGATAAATATATCAAATTGAATGAGATACAGTCAAACCTGTCTATAGCAACCGCCCAAGGGAAACAAAAAAAGTGGTCTTTGTAGCAATTGCCCTTTGTAGACAGGTTCCTTTAGTACATGTGTCAATGAGAAACCATTTTCAAGGGGAACAAATAATGTGGCCTTTGTAGACAGGTGGTCACTAAATCAGGTTTGACTATATTTTTACAGTGATGTAAGCATTAGGTGATTAATCATAATGTGAGTGTAAGTAGTAGATTAACAGTTGCCACAGTTACTTCAGGAGTAGTACATGTAAGTGGCTTCCTGGCAGGACTTTAGCTCTATAGTTGTAAGAGCTAAAGCCAGATAATAATTTTCAAAGTCTTTTTGAAGCAGTTACCATTGATAGTATTGTATTAAAATGTGATATGTGCCATAAAAGAATTGATTATTGTTATTAATATCATTATTAACATGATAGCTCTGCAAGATTTCTTTGTTTGAGAGAATTTCTAATGTACCAATTCTGTAAGAAGTATTAAAAAGTGATTGTATTAAAAGTATGAAAAGTTATATATTAGTATACATATATTTTTAGAGGTGAAAGCCAAAAATAGATTGTGGAAGGTAAAGATATCTTACATTTTAGAAAAGGCTTTCTTTGGTAAATGATTAAAATTCCAGAAGATCAGGGAGAATGTGATCTCTAAATTCAAATGCTGAACCGAGTATGAAATGAAATATTTGTTTGTGTGTGTATGATATGCACACAATACCATTTTAAATGGTTATGAGGTAAACCTGTATGATGGTAGCATAGCTAGTCATGCAGTTAAGGGATGAGTATGATAGAGAATTAGAATAGTAGTTGTTAACACCATAGCTGCCACTGTCATAGTAAAGTATTTACACTAAAGTGCCCTGTGTTCAAATTTGTTTGATCAAATTTCCATTTACCGGTATGTGATTGTTACGTTTACCGATCTGTAAAGGCCACTTTGTATACGGTTGATTGTATACAAATATGACTGTGCTGTGTAGAATTAGCATTACATAATTTTGCACCTTTCAGTTAGGTCATCTGTTTATAAGATTTGCCTTAAAGGCATCGTTGTTAAATCTGAGATGCATGGCCCTATGGGTTATCAGTGTCTGTGAAATGGTGTAATATTGAAGCCCTAAAAAAGAGGACATATTTTTTTTTTTGTCCGGTAAAGGGGTACTTTTCACGCACGAAAGTCCGGCTCGTAGTACACAAAAATTCGGCCCATATTGACTTTACACACCGGACTTAGGGGGGTGTTTTCAAAAGGAGGGAACACTGAGTGGGGGGCCGGGGTCTCTTCTAACTAGCATCCAATTGAGTTGCAGGCTCAATACCAGGCCACCAGGGCATCACTTTGATTCCTTAAATATTCAATGTTTTATCTGTTGAAAGTCTAAAAAAAACAGAGGTCTTCTCGACCTGAAGAAGTATGTGTAGGAATTATGTGATGTATAGAATGCTTTGCAAACGTATGCTGCATTATTAGTATTCTGAATTGCCTTCACACAAATGTTTGAATAGTTTTCACTTGAAATTCAAAAATCTAAAAATCCTGCCTCAAATTGGTCTCTATAGTTGAGCTATCTTGATTCGGAATACGACCAGAAATATGTGTCTTTGTTTGTTTTTTCCCCAGAGATATTGCCCTTTTTGGGGGGTTCACCAGTTTTGAATTTCAAAATATTTTATATTCATTGTAATGAATTAGATGACAAACACCATGAAGAGTTTGTTCTTAGTCATTCTTTTTTAACATGATGATAATCAACCTCAGAACACATGGGTACATGTAAAATTCATATTTTTCTTAAAATGTGAGCTTTATTTCTGTATATTTGATGACTATAAATATCATTTTGTGATGTGGATTTACTTGTATATGGTTGAAGATTTTGATTATATTTTTGTATACACCATCTGTGATCGGTCAGCTTACTGCATTGTGTAATGTTATGTAATTGAAAGGTTTGCATACAAGCTATACAAATATGAAACCATTTGTTTTCAAGCTTGCCGCTTGCCAATCTAAAAATATTAATTGAATAGTTTTAATGATAATAGAAAAGGGACAACCATGAATTTTCTCCAGACTTCTCTTTACTTAGTTTTACAATATTGTACACAAGTGATGATTTTCACGTTGGTGATAAATAGTTATAATGATGAAATTAAGTAATGATAAGGCCCATATTATACTCCCAACAACTCATCTATATGAAATAAACAGTGCACATGTATGGTATATATTGATATAGTTGTAATTCACCGGTATTCTTTATCTGGAGTCCATTTAGATGAGAACTATAATCCAAATGAAATACATTTTAGTGTAAAAAAGAAGTGCAATCGGTTCAATATTTTATTTCTCATTGATGGTCAGAAATAAGGAAAAACAGAGAAGAAAGTCCAATAAAATAATCGTTTGTTGCTCACAAAATTGTATTTTGTTGGTGTTTGTTATAGATGCATCTGTGTTATAGTATCGATGATGATGGTGGTGATGATGAATGATGATGATGATGATGATGGTAATCATCATTTCAAGTCATCACACAACTATTTCCCAATATCTTGCAAAAGTAAGAGCCTAGATCTGCCGGGTCCCTCCCAGTGCACGTGTCAGCCAGCAAATGGTGATGGTGATGACGATGATGATGATAATGATGATGCTGGTGATGATTTGTTATCTTTTGGTGGTGCTCATGATGATTTTGGTGGTGATGATGATTATGATGATGAAAATGGGTGTGATGGTTAGGATTATGATGATGGTGAATAATGTTGGTGGTGATGATGGTGCTGATGATGATGATTATCTTTTGGTGGTGCTCGTGATGATTTTGATGGTGATTATGATGATGGGTGTGATGGTTAGGATTATGATAATGGGTGTGATGGTTAGGATTATGATGATGGTGAATAATAATGTTGGTGGTGATGATGGTGCTGATGATGATGATGATGATGATGATGATGATGATGATGGGTGTGATGGTTAGGATTATGATGATGGTGATGATTATCTTTTGGTGGTGCTCATGATGATTTTGATAATAATAATAGTTGGTTCTTGTATAGCGCTCATGTCAGTCAGATTTGACCCTCCTGGCGCTCCCGATTATTACCCTGGCTTTAGCACGGCTGCCATACGGCGCTCTAGCATTTCAAGGAATAAATTCCTACCAGGTACCCATTTACTTCACCTGGGTGGAGTGTGGCAAGTGTAGATCAATGTCTTGCCAAAGGACTTTAGTGCGGCGGCGGGATAATGGGTGTGATGGTTGGGATGATGATGATGGTGAATAATAATGTTGTTGGTGGTGGTGATGATGCTGATGATAAGGACGATAATGGGTGTGATGGTTAGGATGATGGTGAATAATAATGTTGTTGGTGGTGGTGATGATACTGATGATGAGGACGATAATGGGTGTGATGGTTAGGATGATGGTGAATAATAATGTTGGTGGTGGTGGTGATGATGCTGATGATGAGGACGATAATGGGTGTGATGGTTAGGATGATGATGATGTCACGTGACGACGTGACAGAACATATTTTATCATGCTATGTCAGTTCATGATGCTAATCAGTATAATCACCTGACTTGTCGATCACCACCCTTCATGATGACTTAGGAACGACATTAATAATGATTCTTCCTCATCTGTCGTATTCAGGGGCGTAGACAACGGGGGGATGAGGGGGATGCATCCCCCCCCCCCCCACCTCACAAGGTGGGGGGGATGGCATGTACAATCATCCCCCCCAGGTTTTGGGGAATGATATTTGCTTACTTAATAAGTCATAATGATGATAATAATAGTAATATTAATAATGATAACAATTATAATATTAATAATAATAATAATAATAATTATGATGATGATGATAATAATAATCCTCATCATTATTGTAATTGTGTATATTGTTATTAGCCGCATTCACAGGGTGAAAGCCAATTCAGACGGTAAAAAAAAGAAAATCTTACAAGTATTTTGTGGTTATCTTGTGGTTTGGAAACCACAAGATAACCACAAGATTAAACAGGCGCGGATCTACGGGGGGGGGGGGGGGTTAGGGGGTTTAAACCCCCTCTTGGGCGGCCCAAAAAAGAAACCAAAAAAAAAAAAGGGAAAAAAAAGAAGAAAAAAAAAGAAAAAAGAAAAGAAAAAAGAACGCACGCTGGAGAGAAACCCTTTCAAGTGCAAATATTGTGAGAAGATATTCAACTTATCTGGTAACTTAACCAAACACATGATAACTCTGGATATAACTGTGTATTTAACTGTTACTTGATTTAAAAAGACGTTATCATGCACTGCTTCGTATGGTCTCCATTGTGTTAATAGATGCCAGGAAAACATCACTTACGGGGTTCAAATAATGAAATAAACACCCCAAAAAAAATCGGCTCGCCGCTTCGCGGCTCGTGGACGATGCTCCGCATCGTCATTATTGGTCAACCCCCCCCCCCTTAGCAAAAAGCTAGATCCGCCCCTGAGTCATCCCCCCCCCAGGTGTACGAACCTGTCTACGCCACTGGTCGTATTGTACTTTGATATGGGGACATTATGCAAAAACATTACTGAATCAAGTTTATGTTTTACAGAAAAGAGCACTACGTGAAGTAAAATCTCTCACCCAGAACTCCCTCTGAACCGCAGTTTAGGAAATTAAATGTACTTACCATATTTCAAATACATGACTTGCGAGTTGAATTATTTATGTATATGTACAATAATTATGTTACCTTCCATTTTTGATAATATGTTCAAAATAACAAAGGATGTTCATCCACATTACACAAGACATGCTAATGATTTATATATTCCATCGTTAAAACACCATACTTTGTTCATATACTACACACTCTTTCTTTTCTCTCTACTTTGTATAATCATCTGCGGCCATTGCATATTATGCATAATAATTGCTGAATGTATTTTTACGAAAATTGGAAATAAAATGAATGAATGAATGAATTGATCTTTTAGAGTTGGATG